ATCTATCCATCCATAAATACATTAATCCATCCACCCATCCATTCACCAATAAATACATCCACTCTTCTATTCATCCATTCATTAATCCATAAATACATTCATTTATCCATCCATCCATACATCTAGTCATCCATCCATCCATTCATCCATACATCCATCCATACATACATACATAAATCCATACATACATCTATTCATCCATCCATTCATCCAACCACCCATCTCTTCATCCATCTAACATCCATCCATCTATTCATCCATTCATCATCCATAAATACATACATACATACATCTAGTCATCCATCCATCCATTCATCTTTACATCCATCCATCCATCCATCCATCCATCGATCCAGTATCCATCCATCCATCCATCCATCCATCCAGTTTCAACCACTACTTTTTTTCTGGGTCATGGGGAGCTGGTGTCCATGTCCATCAGTCACTGAGACAGGGGACACCGTGGACACATCACAAGTCCATCAGAGGGACACATAAAAACAAACAAACAACCATTCTCACTGTCACTCACTCCTAGAAAGAAATTAGAGTTTCGAGTGAAACTAACCTGCATGCGTTTGGTCCGTGAGAAGAAACTGGAGAAGTCAGATAAAAACGCACGTGTCCACAAGGAGAACATGTAAAGTACATGCAGAAAGGCATGTGATCCTGTGACTGAGTTAACCACTGGGCTGCTGTGCTGCCACTCATGTATTTTTGAAATTATATATCACTGCTCATTTGTTATTATTCGCTTTTAGTTATGTTTTTACTACATTTACCTTTAATCTATAGCTTTGATACCTTTAGCTTTTAGCTATTGTTTTGCTAATGTAACGTTTTAGCTATTGTTTTGGTAGTTTTTGATTTTAGCTACAGTTTTGCTAACTGTAGTTATGGTTTTATTGGCTTTAGCCTTTAGCTACAGTTTTGAGAATTTCAGCTTTTTAGCTACTAGTTAACGTTTTTAACGTGGAACCACAAGAACTATCTTGTTGATTTTACCCACAGATTTACTTTAATTAGCTTTTAGCTAAGGTTTGATAGTTTTAGCTTGCAGTGACAACTTTGATATTAGCTTTAAGCTACTGTTTTTTAATTTTAGCTTCTCAACTAGCCGAGTTAAAAGTTCATTCTTTAACAAATTTCAGCAAAGTCATTCAGCGCTCAGCGTTCACCCTGCATTCTTACGTGAATGTGATTCCTCTAGTCTGCGTCTCCCCCTCAGGTGTGTGTGCACTTTTATATTGTGTGCACTTCAGATGCACTTTCTTACATTGTCGTTGACCGGCTCGTCCTCTGTGGCCGCCTGGATGCTGTAGGCCAGGAAGCAGAGAATAGCACCGATCCACAGCAGGATGGAGAAGCCTCCGAACAGCTGACGGCAGAACTTGACCCACTCCGGGGTGGTGGGTGGGGGAGTCAGCGCATTCAGACCGTCCCTGGCCAGAATCTCTGCAGCCATGGCGTTGTTCAGGCCCTGAGGGAGAGCAGTTTTTAGCAATATACATCTGCCTGCAATGGGTTACTAGTTTCTGCCATGGCTTAAAGGCAATTTTACTGCTACAGTTGCAGAACATCAAATATTCCTGCTTGGCCCATTTAACACCACAACTACAATAAAATGGGTGACTCCTCTCTTATAAGGGGCTTGGCTCGAACTTTATTGAACAGATTCGTCAGATGTCATGGTCTAACTCATAAAAAAAAGCTATTATTTCATTATATTCTCAACTCAGTGACTGTGATCGTTTTGCAGCCTGAACCATTCTGGAGCTTTTTTCATGCTAATTCCAACCAGATTAAATCTGCTTCACTTCACCTGCAACGCTGAAGCGTTCACCTTTGCAGCAAGCAGTGAATGTGTTTACAGCAAAAATGCGTTGTGGTGTGTTTGTACCTGCCTGTGTTTAGGGCTGAATGGATTTTCTTTTCATTTTGCATCAAAGAATGCAAGTTTGTTTGTGTGTGCAAGGGATTAGAGATGAAGAAGAGTCAAGGTGAGCCGAGCACGCTGCGGTGGGCCTGAGTCGACCAAAGGAAAGCCTGGTCTCGGTTTGGAAGCTCAAGTCCAGGACAGGCGGGCTGAGATTACATCTCCATGTGGGACACTGAGGCAGGACTTTGTTGTGTGTTTGTGTGTAAGTGAAACTGCGTGAAAGAACAAGTTGCGTGCGTTCGCCATTACCCGTGTGAGGTCCACTCCGTAGCGTTTTCCCACATCTTCCACAGATATTTTGTGGTCATCCTGCAAAGACAAACATTTTGCTTCAGTGAAACTCGAACAGAATCTGCAATCGGCAAATCATAAAAGAGAAAATTAAACATCATCCTGGAAGGAATCAATAATGTTATTTTAGATGATGTATAGCTGCAGCTGTGAAAGCGATGCACCGCTGCAGTCCATCTTGGTGAAAAATACTTTATTCTCTGTTCCCAACCGGGTCAGGGGGATTCCTATAAATTATTTATGTCCCGTGACAGATCAGAGAGGTCAAAGATGTCCACTCCCACTGCATCTCATTGGGCTGAAGGTGTAACCTTTATTTCCTTCAGAAGTAAATGTGTGAGCAATCCAGAAAATATACAAATAAAATAGTTTGCTGCTGAATGCAGAAGAAAAAACAGCTGAAATTGACGTCATTTGTTGACTCGTACTCGTGTTAAAACTGACCAAACATAGACAGAGTTCAGGCGCAATTCTGTTTTAAAATGGAACATAATCTGAACATACTAATCCAAAGTGACATTCACTTATTCACATAGACAGAAGGACTTGTTTATCTGAAAGCACAGCTGGACAATGGGTCAATGAGACATTTTGTTCTTGGCAGTCTATTGGCGTTTTCACAGATGGTTATCATTTTGGGCAAATAACATAATTTTTTTCTCTTTTTGTCAGAATGACGTTTGTTTCCAAGCTAAGTAAAAAAAATACATTTTTTTAAAGTGTTCAAAATGATCAAACTGAGCACAAAAAAAGCAATTAATTTATAAATTGACTGAGCTCTCAACATGAGAAGCCTAATTTAACTAATAATAATTAAAATAATGCATTTTATTTGAAGGCGCCCTTCACATCAGTCAAGGTCACCGAACAAGAAATACACAGAATGATATTAACGACTCATTAAATTTAAAATATTACTGAGATTGTATGCAATAAAACAGTTTTGTTGTTCGTTATGTTTGTATTAGGCATGCCCCTCTACAATCCACCAGTGCAAGGCTGTTCTTCAAAATTAAACGTAGAAACTTCATTCATTCGTAAGTTTAGAACGTTAAACGCATCATACTCCAGCTATGAGAGGACATGTCAACATCTGGAAGTTGAATGAGGGATAGATCTATTTAATTAGATGAGCACTTTTCCTCCATATGTTCTGTTCTTTCTTAGATTATAGTTAATATTAAACTATTTAAACCAGTTCTAAAACATTTTATACACCTAGTTTTGCACATCTTCCATATCAGAACAACTTCCTGGTATTTCCAACACTATGAAAACAGGTCTCTCTTGTAAATGAGTCCCCGAGGCTCAATGAGACTAACCTGTATAAATAAAGGTTGAACGAATGAATGAATATTCAACTGGCGGCTCACGAGCCATTTCTGGCCCACGGGTGAATTCAATCCGGCCCACTTCATTATTTTTGGGGGGGTGGGGGTTCTGGGTTTGGATTTTGGGTTCTGTTTATTGCATTTATGATTCAAAGCAATAAAATAAACAAATTTAAAAGGTAACAGATCATTGTAAACTTTGGTTTATTTACATAATGACTTTAATCGCTGGATGTCCTGCCCCCGAGCTGTTGGCTTTCAGAAACTGCGCCCCCCGCCTGAGCAGTTTTGTTGAATAGCCCTGCACTAGTGCCACTACTTTCAGTCATTTACATTTAATTTCATTAAACGCAAAAAACATTATGTTAAAATTAAAGTAAAAACACAGACTGTTAATAGAATCCAGACGTCAAACTGGAACACGGAAGTGGAAGCCAGAGAGGAAACTGGTGTCCCCATAAGCTAACTCCATGTACAAGTTTTAAGCCACACCCCTTTCATGAAAATAATTGGGATTTATAAAAGACATACAACTCAGATATGGTTTTTGGATGTGAACTCTTGTTGATTGACATGGTTCTTACCGTGCTGCTGTATGTAATTTTTCCATCGTTGTTAGTTATTTCACACTTTTAACCCTCCTGATGTATTTAGGTCAAAATGACCTCAGTGACAAAACTGAGGCCCCGTGGGTCATTTTTGACTTCTGGGCAGTAGGACGGTTAAGAGAAGACTCATGCAACACCATGACTGGCTGTGGGGGATGGAGTGGGCGGGACTTAAAGCATTACAATGTGCAGGTGCTAGTTCCAAAATGGCCACTTCTAACAACCAGGTCTTGCTGTCTTCATTTCTTCTTAACAAAAGGTGAGCACACAGCATGTAGTACATGATTAATGAGTCAGAACAGGAGGAATATCTCCTGCAGGCCGACTGCAGTATAAGATTAAGTCCATGTAAATAAAAATAAAAATATCTTCCTGGTTAAAAAAAATAAATAAACAAAGCACAGCAAAAAATATATTTTCTCCAGTTGTTAGCATCTGTTCATTCTCCTACGTTGCTGCTGTTTGTTCAAATTATTATAATTGTTTTCATATTTAGTTGTAATGAGTAATTTGATTCTTAAAAAACATGCTTTTGTAGGGGAGTAGGCGGGGCTTAAAGCCCCTTTTCTTTACCTCAAAAAATCTGGCTCATGTCCTGTAAACCAGACATTATGGTTTTAATTAGGAATAACAATAAAGATGGAGAAGTTGTATCCATCTTTTGTTACATCGATGGTTTCAGCAGCCTTGGACACCTTGTCTTTTTCCTGGGAGAATATTAGGAGCCAGATTGTACAAAAGAAAAGTAGTTTACAGAGACAAACTACTTTGTGTGAACTTAGCAAATCAGTGACAGGATATTTTATTCATCAGAGTAAAGAAAGTAGAAAAAGCATGAACGTTTTTAGATCGAGGCTATAGTAACAAAACAAACAGCTGTTTTATACAACAGTGCCAAAAAGTAACATTTAAATATAGTCTTGAATCGTTGTTTTGACTATGAGTAGTTTAAAACGATAAAACCTTGTTCTTGAAAGGTCTCTGCTCTGAGCAGGCAGCGTTACTCCTTCATGAGAATTTATTTCTGATTCTCCCAACACAGATTGTTCCGATGCTTACCTACTGCAGGTAAGATACTGACAGCACACAACTAATCCACACAACCTCACTTAAGGTTTTCTTTGAAACAATGCAAATGATTGCACCAACGGGTTACTTTTTTCTGTTAAAATCTTTTTGCATAAAGAATAAAAGGAATCACAGAAAAAACAGCTTTTAAAATATACTGTATTTTCTGCCGTACATGTCGCACCGCCCTATAAGTCGCATCAGTCCAAATATGTCTAATAAAGTGGAAAAATCCATAAATACGTTGCATCTATTATGCGCCACTGCTGACATGTCGCGTTTGTTACGCGTCACCGCTGACAACCTGGAAATATGGGCCGGTGTTGTGCCAAAAATCAATTGGCGGCCAAATGGCGGCCACGGGAGCATACACGTAAGACTTTAACAAGAATTTAAAGAGATTAACACTTAAAAACAATTGTTTGTTTGCTCGAAATTATAGCAAAGGTGCGTCTCAGTTTAACTTTTACTTAATAAATGCACTTGACGGTTAAATTAGCTGCATTTCTCCGGGGCGGTGCAGCAAAATTAAGCTGATTTGACAGTTGCTTCAAGCAAGCTGGACGAAGGTGGGAGATTATGGCAAGCCAATTGTGTCATTAATAGCCACTTTTAACTATTACATGACACAACGGCATGCCATACAACTCGAGTGCCATCTAGTGGCTGTAAATGGTAGTGTTCAATATCTCAGCCAAAAATTGGTTTATAAACATGAGAAAAAAATTCAAAAATACATCGCTTCGGCGTATAACTCACAGGGCATGCAAATTATGCAAATAACGGCGACTTACAGGCCGAAAAATATGGTATCTATTTCTGTGGGTCTCGTGTGTGAAGACACTGAAATAAACCAGCCATCATCTCTCAGGACTGAGTCTTCCTAAAAAATTGAAAGCTACTTTTTTTTTCTTCCTCCCAGCAGATAGAGAGGATCCATCACTTTCTTCAGCAGCCTCAGCTGGCTGAAAGTAATTTGGTCAAAATCAACTGAATGCTCCCGTGTTCCTCGAAAACAGATTTTGTTTATATAGAGCTACACCCAGTATCGATTAACCGTGGTCCGGAGGTGATTAAAAGGATTTCTGCGTAAGGACGAAGAAGTAAATCACTAAATGAAGAAGTACATGAAGCACAGTACACTGTGGCGATAATACGCGCAGGCCTACGTTCTAATCGACAAGAGCTGCTTTATCCCTCATGGTGGGAGCAGCAGAACTTAACCCAGTTTTCGTGGGCATGGCTCTGTGGCATTTTGACAGCACCTCAAACAAGTACAACACAGAAAGTGGGCACCAGGCTGCTGGTGGCCCACAAATTATTCAGTCTCCCCGAGTACAAAGAAGAGCAGCCGGGAGGAGGCTGAGCAGATAGAAGAAAACCTTCGAGCTCTTCTGCAGCTGACTACAGGTTGGATTGCCATTTTGTTTACGGGCCACCGTTTTCATTTACAGCCTTGTTAAATAACCCGGAGTCTCCAGCGTAATGCTATTTGGAGATCATTTGGAAAAAGCAGCAATGAAATCAATCACTGTGCAGAAAAGGGAGTGTGGGTAGAAACAAGGACGGCTTGTTTTATTCCTCACCAAGGCCACCTCCTTCTTCAGCTCGTCCAAGTCCTTGTCCTTCTTTTTCTTCTTGCCTCCATTTTCAGCACCCCACTGTGGGAAAACAGAGGTGTAAGGGTCGTGTGTTTGCAGGACATTTACATTCAGAGCAGCGTATTACAACACAATGGACTTGCTGGTTCATTTCAGTCTGCTGGCAAAACATTCCCTGAATATGCAGATTTTTGTTTTGTCAACGTACAGGTTCCTTATTTGTGACAGGGAGAGTATGTAGAAGAACGGTGCATCATGGAAATCATCTGCTGCTGTCAGTCTCCTCTTAGCTGCATGTGTGCATGTCAGTGAAGGGGTGGGGTGGGGGGTACACTGAGAGTATGTGAGGAGAAGGGTGTGCACGTGAGTGACACAGTGGAAAACTAATCAAAAAAGAGCGAAAGAGGGAGCACAGAGTCTGTGGAGAGCCTGAAATGTGCCTGGCATAGCAATTTACCCCCACTGTGCGTGAGGAAGATTACCAGGCTGTCCTCCCATAAAGCTAAATGGAACGGGCCTGATGGAGAGAATACAAGGAAAATGACTAAATGACGCTGATAAACCGGGAACCAAACCTATCGAGGAGAAGAGCCATCATCTTGAGATGTTATTGTCTAAAGAAGGTATTCTGATGCTCACAAACTGCAGGTCCTTCAAACCTGTTTACACATAGTATACAACGTACAGGCACATAACAATTGGTTGGTACCCTTCTATTATAAAAAATACAACTGTGACTGGAGACAAAAAGCTTAATTTCTTTCTCATCAGTTCAAGAAACTTTGAGGCTTGTCAATATCATCATACACAAAAGTTAGTCATGGAGTTCCTCAAGGTTCAATGCTTGGACCAATACTCTTTACCTTATATATTCTTCCACTAGGTAAAGTTATTAAACAGCATGGGATAAATTTTCATTGTTATGCTGATGATACACTGTTATATTTGTCCATGAAACCCAATGAATCCAATCAGCTACTTGAATTCAAAATCTTACTTCTAATCTACAAAGCCCTCAACAACCTAGCTCCATCTTATAGTCGAGATCTTGTTGTTCCAGATTTTCCTAACAGAGCACTTCACTCTCAGACTGCAGGCTTACTCATGGTCCCTAGAGTTTCCAAAAGCAGAATGGGAGGAAGATCTTTCAGTTATCAGGCTCCTCTTCTTGTGGAACCAACTTCCAGTTTCTGTCCGTGAGGCTGACACATTGTCCAGTTTTAAGACTTTACTTTTTGATTAATCCTATAGTTAGGGTTGGCTTGTTATGCTACTAGAGGACAAATTGTCCTCATTTCCTTAAATGAATTGTTAACAGTTAATAGTTTTCATTTGATACTATTTCTATCTTAACATGATTCTTGACCTGCCATTGTGTATCTGTTCCTCTCAAACCCAGCTGGTCGAAGCAGATGGCCGCTTGTCCTGAGCCTGGTTCTGCTAAAGGTTTCTTCCTCATGAGGGAGTTTTTCCTTTCCACTGTCACCTTCATGCTTGCTCAAGATGAGAGTTCTGTGATGGAGTTAAACTCAAAGCAGTCTGCTCCTCAGATAAATAATGTTAAATTATTATTTCTTATGAATGTTTTTGTTCAGTGCCCTGAGATGACTTCTGTTGTGACTTGGTGCTACATAAATACACTGAACTGAACTGAACATGTAGTTTGGCAAACCGCTCTGGCTCTTCTGCATGGAGCCCATTATGACACACAAAGTGACAAACCTCAGCTTTGGAGTTTAGCTTGAATGGATTTCTTTGTTCTTTTTATTTATCATTCTCACTATCCATTTGATCAACATGGAGTCACATTTCCTCTTGCGTCCATATCCTGGAAGTTCCGTTACAATCCCGTAAACATTGTACTTTTTAATAATCTTGTCAGCTGAGGTCACTTGAACTTGAAGCTGCTTGGAGATGGTCTTGTGTAAACGTGTAATGTGGATACCTACAGTCTTCTTTCTGAGCTCGTCAGTCAGCGCTCGCCTTTACTTTCTCTGCTCCACGTTCAGTGCGGTCACACAGTCATCCCAAGCTACCCAGTGGCACGTTCGGTTTCTATAAATAGGCTGAATGGCCGATGAAAAGCTTCAAGGCACCTGTGATACTTAGTTTCAAACATGTAGTGCAAAGATTAATACGGGTCTCTTTACAAATCTGCTCACACTGTTTTAGCAAGTCATTGTAAAATAAACAAAAAAAAATTCATATTTTTTGCTTACTCTATCTCACACTAAAGCTAAACAGATATACAGTGGACAACCGCTTTGAAATGGATCACCTTTTACAACGAAGCACTGTTTCAATGAGCTGTGAGGGTACCAACGATTTATTTGTGTCCGCACATTGCTTCTCTACCCAGCTCAGAAACAAAAGCTTTAGTCCGGTACAGTACTGAAACAAAAGAGAGAACTCACCCCTCTGCCCATGCTTGGCGTCCAGACGTCTCCAGGTTATGAAGTGAAGGACGGTACTGACTCAGGGGTCCAACCACAGCTCTGAGCCCCTGCCACCACGTGCAGAACACGCTGCTTATTTTGGGGCCTGACCCCCACTCCCTTCACATACATACACACCAAATACACCCCTCCATGCTTCCTCCTGTCAGAGAAACCTGAGCTACAGTATGCTCCCCTCTCCACCACTTCTATCCCAGGGTTCCTCTGCGCTCAGCCCCGGCAGCACCTGCTCAGTATTCCCTCACATGTACCCTTGGATAACAGCAGCCCATCAGTCACTGCTGTCAGCGTTACGAATGACACCTCGCTCTCCGTGTAACATACAGTATTTACAATAAACATGATAATGAGGGATCCATTCGAGGCCTTGAGGTCTATAATGAGAAGAGTGTTCAGCTGGTGGGATCCTGATGGGATCTTCATGTTCGTTGCCCAAACAGATGAGGTGTGATGAGCTGACGTTGCGTTTAGTTTCCAGATTAAATGCAAAGCTTGGAGTAAAGTCCAACATATTTCCAACATAAGGAGCTGCGACCACTCTGACCCACAAAGGACGCAGAGAATCGTCTCGCAGCAAATAAGCACCAAATGTCTTCGTGTCAGCTGCCAGTTACTTTTAGAGTTGATTTTATGCTTGGGTTCTTCCTGCACTGCAGCTTCTGTCTGCGCTGCGTGCTTCAATGTGGCTCCTCTCAGGTGTTTTTGATTTCTTGGAGTTCAACTAAGATTTTACAAACAAACATCAATACTGACAGTACCGTATTTTCCGCTGTACACGTTGCACCACCGTACAAGTCGCATCAGTCCAAATACAATTTGTCTAATAAAGTGGAAAAAAACAAAAATACGTTACATTTATCGACGGTCACGGGAGCGTGCACGGGAGGACTTTAACAAGAATTTAACAAGATTAACACTTAAAAACAATTATTTGTTTGCTCGAAATTATAGCAAATGTGTGTCTCAGTTGAACTTTCACTTAATAAATGCACTTGGATGGTCAAATCAGCTGAATTAAGCCGGGGTGTCGTAGTGAAATGAAGCTGATTTGACGGTTGCTCCAAGCGAGCTGGACGAAGCCGTTTGTGTTATTAATAGCCACTTTTACCTAATACATGACAAAACGGCATGCCATACTACTCGAGTGACATCTAGCGGCTGAAAATGTTAGTGTTCAATATTTTCAGTCAGAACGAATGAAAACTGTCATATCTCAGCCATAAATTGGTTTATAAATATGGAAAAATCCATAAATATGTCGCTTCGGTGTATAAGTCGCAGAGCATGCAAATTATGCAAAAATTAAAACTTATACGGCGAAAAATACGGTAATTTATTTTAAGCGGTGCAACTTTTGATTTCATTTCAGGTGGTGCAGTTTTGAGTTGTTTTTTTTTTTTTGCTTCTGAGAGCAATGTTTGATATTCAAAGAAGTACCAAGATGACAATCTGGGAGCATTTGCTCCTCCAAGTCTTCCTGTAAAAACCAAATCCGATCAGGTCAGAGGCTTTTTTAAAATTTAACTGACCAAACGCCTGGTTGTATCTGCAGGAACTTTGCAGCTGCAATGACTGAAGAAGTAACAGCCCAAACTTTTACCTGGAAGACTGAACAATTCAGTATTTACAAAAAATAACCTTCTAAATGTAGTTAAATTAAATAAAATGAATGATTATTTAATTTAGGGATTTAAAGTGTAGTATAGTCAAATTTTAATAGGTAAATTGATAATCATGTTCTGCAGTTTAAATGTGATTTAAGCAGTAATTACAAAGTGGACCACTGTGATGGAAATTACTACAAAACCTGACATTTAGAAACACGACTGGAGTAAAATATGCACTGCTCATAATCCTTCTACAGAAGCAAAACGGGTCTAATCATCTAGTCGTTATCGACCACTGCAACTGCTCGAGTGTGTGTTTTAAATTGTGAACAAAACATTTGATAAACCACTGGACAGATTTTAAAGAAACTTTCAGAAATGTATCGCTGGATGTACGCCTACAACTGATTAAACTTTGGAGTCAACCTGATTCAAAGCCATGGCTGATTAACTTTAGAAGCACAACAATATTTTTTTACAGAAACTGAGCTGGAGTTTGGTGTGGTAGTAGCTGAGACTGATCCCCAACACACCATGCGAGTCATTTTTAATAACTTCGTCATGCAAGTTATAATGCCACTTTCATTTTTGTTTAGATTTAACTTTTGTAAAACATAGAGCTCATGGGGTGGCATGGTGGATCAGCTGGTAGAGCTGCTGCATCTCCGTGAGAAGGTCGCTGGATCGAATCCCGGTCGGGGACCTTTCTGGGTGGAGTTTGCACGTTCTCTCCGTGCATGTGTAGGTTTTCTCCGGGTGCTCCGGTTTCCTCCCACAGACCAAAAACATGCATGTTAGTCTGATTGGTAACTCTAAATTGTCCCTAGGTGTGAGTGAGAGACTAAATGGTTGTCTCATTTGTTGGAGGAGCGGTGGTGCAGAGGTTAGAGAAGGTGGGCCTCTAATCGGATGGTCGCCGGTTCAACTCCACGATCCGACACCATCAAAATGTGGGTGGAAAAGGTGAAACATCCACACCTGTCTCCACTCTCATGTGCCCCACCTTGGGCCCTTGAGCAAAGCCCTTAACCGCCAACATCTGCTCCCAAAACAGGTCTCTCTTGAAAATGAGTTCTCGTGACTCAATGGGACTTTTTCTTCTTCTTTCGGCTGCTCCCTTCCTCAGAGGTCGTAACGGCAAACTAACTCGCACGAAGACTTGGCAATGGTTTTTACACCTGACGCCCTTCTTGAGGCAACCACAGACCACCGAGCTACCACAGCCCTGTGTGTGGATGGAACCTTGCTCAAGGGTCCAGAGTGGGGCAAATAAGGGTGGAGACAGGTTTGAGTGTTTCACCCTTTCCACCCACATTTTGATGTTGTTGGTCCAGGGAGTCCTTCTCTAACCTGTGCGACCCCTCTCCCCCCTTCATGACTCAATGGCGCCCATATCCAGCATTCACTGTGCGAGAGGCGGGGGACACCCTGGACAGGTCTCCAGTCCATCACAGGGACAGAGACATTTTTTATGTAGGTGTCTCACAGTGAGACTACCTGAATAAAAATGTCTCTACTATGGACACCAGTGACCCCCGCAACCCAAAAAGGAAGAGGCAGGTGAAAGATAATGGATGGAGCTCAGATCACTACAAATAACTAAGCGAACTCAACCTGCTGGATTTGTCATGAAGTTATGACCAAAAATTACAACATAGTTTTAAAAACAAACAAAAGATAAACTAAATAAAAAACACTCTGGACTTAATTGGTCTCGATCCATGAAGACTGTGTAACATTCACAGACTGATAAACTGTGTATATGCCATTTAAAACTAATGCACAATGCTCTTTTAAATGATGGTTTGTGAGATACGATTTTTAATAAACGGTGAGAAGCAGCGTTCCTCCTGCAGCTGCCCATCCAGGCAGGAGGCTGAGCAGGTGCACGAGCATCGCTTCAACTCTCCGTCTGAATATGAAGCGGAGCATTTTTGAAAAGGTCGTGTATGCTCACTGAACCACACCTGCTCGTCAGGTCAGAAAAAATTAAGCCTTTATGAAAATTATATCTCATTTTGTCGCCGTGCAAAATGTGAAAAGGTTATAAATTGATGCCAAACTGTTTTCTTTTCCATTTTTACCGGATCACCGTAAATTCTGTTGATGATGGTTCAGTTCAGTAATAAAGGGCAAAACTAAACTGACTGAAACTAAATTTAATTAAGGGCCTTATGACTTCTGCTTAGAATGGAGAGAATTTTAGCCAATTAGGTTGAGCTTTGTAAAGGATATGTTCTCGTGCAACCTCCGTCAGTGCTTGGAGATGTATTGAGGATGACTCTCCGCTATAAACGTAGATTTAGCTCAGTATTTGCTAAATTAGCTGATTTATAGTCATTTTTGTGTTTTTAAAGGTTGCTGTGAAGACCATCTTGAATTGGTTTGTCATCAAAAGATCATTTATAGTCAATCAGATAATGAATAATTTTAAGAGTTTCATTAAAAACATCTTGTGGTTCATGAGATATTGTGGTGGAATTATAATCACATAAAGACAAGGGCAATAACAGAATAATCTGCTTTCAACTTCTAATAATTATAATCAACTCATTTTGTAGGAACGTTCTTCTTTGGACACTTTTATGACAGAATGTAGCCAGTGGTGGGATGTAACCATGTACAAGTACTTTGTTACTGTACTTAAGTACATTTTTCATGTATCTGTACTTGACTTAAGTAGAGTTAAATGTGGGTACTTTAGACTTTTACTCCCCTACATTTTACATGAAGTATCTGTACTTTCTACTACACTACATTTCTATAATGCGTTGTGTTACATGTTACATTCATGTTGCAGTTTTTTCATTTGTTCGTTAGTTTGAAAGTAACCAGTGGCAAGAGGGAGTTGGTCCATTGAACCACTGCAAAGTGGTCAGGTAACGTTAGGCCCGCCTTCAAGAAGAGCTGGACCAATGAAGTATGTTCTAGTACATATATCATTGAGCTGCGCACCCACAGCACCACTAACACACCCAAAATGGATTCCACTGCAGAGTCAGCCAGAAGATACACGCCACCCATGGCCTTATTGAAAGATTATTGAAAGACTATTGAAAGACTATTGAAAGACTATTGAAAGACTGTTCAGTACAGCAGGACATATTTTCTCTCCCAAAAGAGCCAGACTGGACTCAAAAAACTTTGAAAAACAACTTCTTCTGAACTTGAACAATAATAAAATGTGTCAGTTCATGATGTTAGGAGACAAGAGATGTCTCCAAATGTCTCGACACTCTGGTCCAAGTTTTGAAAATGGTGTCAGGAAGTTAAAATATTGTTCACTATTGACCCAGTACAAGGTTGATAGTATTTTAACTAGAGCTGATGACAAACTGGAGTTGAACTGACCATATGTTCCTCTGTTAGGTCTAATGCTCCTTTTGTTCAGGCAGACAACTTTTACTTAAATGTGTTTACTGCAGTTAAAATGACACATTGGTTTAACTTTGTGTTAAATAAAAACGTTCAAAGGTATAATCATTCCTCTTTCTTATTTTGCTTAATAACATTTAACTCTTCAGGTCATCCCTGAAATTCAGACGCACAGAATCACAAGTCCAAGTGTGAACTGTGTCACAGAGTAAACACAATAAAAACATGTATTATCTGCAGCATTGTTCATTAAAATGACTCGACACCATTAACGTATTACAGAAAATATACATAGACACTTTATGATATTGTAGACCATTGTATTAGGGTAATACATTCAGCAAGTACTTTTACTTTTAATACTTTAAGTATTTTTTTAAAGCAAGTACTTATTTAATTTTACTTAAGTAGAAAACGTTAATGTACTTTTACTAGAGTACATTTTGTCTGTTTATTTCTACTTTTACTTAAGGACAGTGAGTACTTTCTCCACCACTGGTTATATAGCAAGAGACATTCATGACATCTTTTAGATAAAAAAAAACAGAAAGAGTCAGAAGCTTCAGGGATTTTCAGCTGGGTTTACTGTTCAACAGCTGCGCTCGTGGCTTTTATTTACGGTTCTCTTTACAACACATTTTACAGACACAAAAAACAAACATTAGTGCTCTTAAATGATCACAAGCATTAAAAATAAAGGTAAAAAAAAAAAACATAAGCAGCTCCAGTCATTTTCAAACGAACGAGCGTTAACGTGCAACTATGGCTAATAGAGTTTATTTAACATAGAAAGGAATGGTTTTATTTAAACGTCGTTTTACGTCAGGCGGCTGTGTGGCTTTGCTGATAAAGAAGAAAACATTCTAAGTAAATCCATTTGACTGGATAGTAAAACAGCGACCAGCGAAACAGATGTCCAGTTATAAAGTTGTGGATTTTAGCACCTTCATTCCTGTTATGAATTTTAAAGGAACATATCTACACTGCAAATCAATCTGCAGATGAAACACGTCTCTGGCTCGGGGTTTGGAAGGGGTGCCTTTAAAAGAAAGCTCTGGCAGTGAGAGCAGACTATCCGAGGTGATACATACAGATTCTTGGTAGGGCTTAACACGGTAGATAAGTCTCTACCTGCAAAGCTTTCTCCTACAGCACCTTTTTTTTACGTTTCCTCCCCAGCCACAGAGCGATGAATCTAAGGCAAACCAAACCCTCCTCTACCCCCCTCTTCCCATTCTCTGCACTACAACCTCAATTTTCCTCCATCTCAGAATAAAATGTACCCCAGAGACAGCCACACAGTGCCTTCCATAACGCACAAGGTCAGAAATATAATGGCATATTCCATAGAATACAATTACATTTCTTTCCTGCCTTGGTAAACATGTTCTCCACGTGTGGACAAGCACACATGTTAGAAATGTCTCAGAAAACATTATTCGCTTTACTTAGGGCGATGTTTTGCTTTTATAGCAAATCAATTTTTAACACGCTTTAAACATGAAACACATATACATAAAACATTTGCGACTGGAAGAGAGCTAGCTAGATTATAAGTATCCGTTTCGGTGTGGATTCTTGTCTTGCCAGTAGGGGGCGTCCAAGAGCGTTGTGGCGGTGAAACCAAAAGAAATGACAACGAAAGGGCCGGAGGAGGAGGAGAGGCGAGAAGGCGAGGCAGACACGCCTCAGGGGTACTTGAAGGGCAAAGCGAGAGGCCGTTTGTCGATCGCCGGTGAAGACGGGAGGGACGGCCAAGAAGAAGCGTCTGCCACCGAGTTTGAAAAAGAAAGGAGTGAAGCGAAGGAAGGACAGAAGAGGGAGAAGCATTGAGCTGTAGGGCTGCCAGTCAGATAAGGAGAGGCTTAAAGAGTAGATTGGATTGTGTCTAGGCCTTTTCTGTGGGGGAATAATGCAGTGCAGACTCAGTAGACGGCAGGAAGAGGAAGCGATTAAGGAAGCGCAAGGACAGATAGAAGGAAACAGAAGAGAGGAGACGATTCCCAAGATGAAGAGGAGTGAAGACGGCAGAAGGGTGATGTGGTGAGAGATCTCTTGTTACCAAGCGCACGCTAAAATAATTAGCCCCGGGGTCGAGGAAACGTGCAAGTGGATTAGCTGGACCTAAAATAACTCACGAGCTGCACCCCCTCCTGGTAAGCCCTTTTCGTCAGACTCCTGAGAGCGTCTGCTAATGTTCGGAGGCTGTGACGTCATTCCAGGTCGTCAGTCACCGAGCCAACGGTGGATGTGCTCTCGGGCGCAAACACCAGAGAAAGCACCTCCACCCTGCCCTTTCCCTCTCTCTCTTCCTTCCCCCTCCCGTCGGCTGAAAAATGTGCAGCTGTTACAGTAAGCCCGCTCGCTCCTACAGGGCCAGAAATAGCCCCCCTTCAGCCTGCGCAGGGACACAGCGACAACCTCCATTAGCTCAAATGCGAGAGGATTGAATCACCTCCGAGCTCCGGGGCTTGAACTTCTATCTGCGCCGGCTGAGAGCAGGAATCATATTTCTCCCACACTATCACTCTCTGTTTTCCCTCTATCTGAAGTCCGGTGTGTGTGCTCACCGCTCAACTCTGTGATTGAGTCGTAAACATTAAGGGGGGGGGGGGATTCACACAGGGACATCCTGCATGGTCCTCTTAAGGAAGTTATGTGCGTAGTTAGGCCTTAAACACTTTTACGGGTTGCCCAAACGATGGCGCGAACGGCCTTCGGTGAGACGTTGTAAAAATTATTTGACGCCGTTACCCGTGACGTAGTGGGGGCTATTCTTACAGCCAGTGCTGTCTGGAGAGGGCAGAGATAATGGGGAATAATGGGGGCTGCATCAGGCTGGGCAGAAAAAGGGGGAGCAGACTAGAGGAGGAGTGGAGGCAGTCGTGGAGAAGTCAAACCTTTATCTACAAGAGGAAGAGAAGAGGGATGGGGAGGCGGGGAAGGAAGAGAAACAGGACAGAGCCGTTAGCATATAAATCACTTCCGTAATTTGAATTAACAAGAAAGTCAAGAGAATTCACAGAGAAACAGAGGAATAAAACGGGATAGGACAGTGGGGGAGGGGGAGGCTGAGGATCAGCGCGAGGAGAGAAAGCTGGAGTTTGACACATCGACTCTGGAAAAAAAATAAAAAAGCAAATTGGCTTGTCCCCCACAGCCGGGGATTCGTGATGCGTATCGGACGCACTCGGAGGAAGCTTTTTCAGTGAATGGGATCACAATAAAAGGAACCAGAGAGGCAAATCCCAGGGAGCGGCCTTTAAGATTTTGTTATCAGACCCAGTCGTCTTGAGGTCTCGCTTCAAATGGCATATCTTATGACCTGACAAAAGTGGTCAGGGTGCCAGCTGGTGTAGATTATCATGTACGATCTGGGCCCACATACAGTAGCTGCGTCTGCATCCTGTGACAAGAGCAAATGTGATTTAACGGGTTTTATTCAGGAACCCCGGCGACGTGGGAAGTCGAGTAGGTTTGTGATTTAAAGGTACTCGTTGCAAAGAACGAAAACTAGCACACAGAAGGTTATCCTGGACCATACAGTCGTGGTAAAGAGAGTTTACTCCCGTAGTTTTCCAGATACTTTAGTGATTTGAAATTCCATTATGCAGGTACGTATGTTCTCAGTATAAACAAAGCTTGGCTGAATCCCAACCATGTGGCTGCTCGGGCCATGTGATTGATCTACATTAGGCTGTGCAGGTAAAGAAATATGGCCGATACGTTTCAGCTAATTGGCCTTTTCAATTGGCAAACGTGGAATCACTAATTCGCAAATTCTGCTTCCAGACTTTTAATTTAAGGAAACACGTATGTTCATTATGAGGAAGAATAGTGTGCAGATATTTTCTGCCCAGTCTTCGTGACTTTTCATTGAGTACCTTTACCCCCCTCCCCCCAGTGGCGGCCTGTTATTTGAAGCTGAGCTGATTGGCAAAGCGGGAGAGGAGGCCAGGCGGCTTAGAGCTCCCTGACCCTTCGGCACCACCGGACCCTTCCTCCCCATTTTTGCGGGTCAGCTCCAGCTCGATGGTCATGAGTACCCGGCCTTTACCCTCCTCCCCACCTTCCCCCACCCCTTCCATTTTTCTGATGGCGGTTTGCTGCTGCTTGTCCTGCTGTTTGGGCTGGGCCTTCATCACCAGTACCTGGCGTGCGGGCTGGAGCAGCTGTGCGGCGAGCCCGCCCCAGCCCCTCCCCGTATCCTATTTCTTATCCTTGCGAGACTCCTGCTTCTTCTTTTCCGAGGCGGCGGCCTTCACCTTGGAGGGGTCAGCAGGAGGCGCAGGGCCCTGTGGGCGGATGAGGGAGAGGGGGTGTGGGTGGGGAGAAGAGGGGAGGAGAGTCACTTCAGGAGGAAAGGAGCGTGAGGCAGAAGGGTGGGGGGAGAGGGGATGTGGTAGAGGTGAGAAGATGAGATGATGGAGTTACAGCTGGAAGGGTGGAGCTGTGTGAAGAGGAGAGAAAAACACATTTAGATGGACGGAGAGGAGGTGGAGGAGGAAGGAGCCAGACATGCGGCAAGACAGAGAGAGACGAAGAGCTGGAGACAGTCCTTTTAGGGGAGGGGGTAGCAAGTGAGAGGGGGTGGTGTCCAGAGCTGTAAGGGGGTGACAAAACAGGTAACCATGCGTTAGGATGGGACACAGTGGCAGCCAGTCTCCATACTCCTGTGACAACTGAGTGACAATTGATCAATATCAACACACACACACGTGCACACACACACATACACACACTCAACTGAACAAAATGTTGGCTTTCAATTTCAGAAAAGTTGAGATTAGTTAAAAA